TCACGATTTCTTACGATCAGAGACCGACCCAGAGACCTATGCAACCCTACTCAGCGGATCGTACGTTACATCAAGTCTTCAGGGCATATGCCACATGCAGTGGCAACATGGGCCGCCGATGGTGTCACTCAGCGAAGTAAGTTCATGGAGGGTGTGGTTCGATGTGGCTGCTAAGTTGGAGCAGTTCGTAGAGAAGGCGCAGGAGGAGCTTCTGAGAAAGGGTAGAGGCGGGAGGATCTCAAATATTCTTACTTCTGGCTATCGATTGGTATGGTGAAAGATCAGCTGCAAGACGACATGCTATGGAATAACCTTCGATCTACAGGTAGCCAGTCGAGGCGAGGGACACATAGGGCCCGGCCGTAAAGCAGTTGTGAACACTCACCTGAACACAATAGTAGCCGCTTTGCATGCCCCTGAGTGGGAGCTGTTGTATCATAGGTGAAGGACACTACGTGGGGACTTACTGCAGCGTGATAGCAACAGCTGAATATGGCTTTCCGTATGCACAGAATTGGTGAAGACACGATGTTCCACCTGCTCACTGCAACCTCCATATTTATGCCTCTGCCGAACAAGTGCCTATGCCAAATGACAGGAGAACCTATCGTCAATCTGAAGCCTCCACTGAGCATCGGCTGCATTGACCCGGACAACACGATTCGTGCCGATCACGCTGTACAGCACGCTGAGACACAGAAGAGACCGGCACTGAAAAGAAAGCTGTCGCAGGAACTTCAAGACCAGAGACCTGCCAAACGGCTCAAGCGAACTGGCACCTCGAACTCGACGTCGTCCTTTGGGGATGTGAGAGCAGCCCCAGCACCTCAGCCGTGAGCATCGAGTACTGAGAATCTTGCCCTTGCTGACATGCAGCTCCAGACGGACACCTGCAGATATCGTATTCGCTCGTGCGCGTCTGTTTTACTCTCGGCCTTGCCGCATGCCACAGACAAACAAGATTCTCCTCGGCCTGCCTTCTAAGCGTGCGCATGCCTTCCGATTCACTGAGATCTGCCGCTGATACGTTTTGTTGATATAGATATATTAAGCCGTTTTAAGCCCGCGTGGCATACCGACCAAGCTGAGAATCCTCAGCATCATACAGACCCTGACCCAGCTAAGCAAGCGGAGAATACGAGGCACTTGTCGAAATATATCTTTCCACGACAGTATGGGCTATCCAGCCCATTTGTCACAGCTCCGCGCCCCCAATATGAGGCCTACAGTATGCCAGACTTCTCCGACCGAGAGGCGGAGATCAAGGTATGCAACCCCTGTACCGCCTCATACCCTGCATGTAAAGCAGTTCGACTTGCTCAATGCTTAAATCGTAGAGTAAAGGTCCATGCAAGACTCCGAAGCGGCTGAAACCTATCCTGACTATTCTGAACAAGCTCATCTGGATGCATGAAAGATGCGGATACAAAGCGCTGCTCAAAATCACATGTCCCTCTAAGGTTCGCCGGTTCGCTTCGTATCACGTGCTGAATGGAGATGCTCATCTTCGTGCATAGATCAAGCAAGAGAACAAGGAACCTCTGGATAGTAGTGTGATCTTGGTAGGCCGTTTCCTGCGAATACATTAAACCGTTCTTACCTCATCTCGTGTAGGAAATGATGTCGGAGTATTCTTCACAGCTCCGTACACAGCCCAACCTGTCAGATCCCAGCGTTCTTTTCGACGATGAAGGAGACACTATCTCGGCCCACGGGTTGTCTCAGGCCCAACGCTATGTGAAGAACAAACCCCGCTTCGCCGAATTTTCCTGTAGTCATACGGAGGTATGTTTTGAGCTCGACTTGAGTGGATATTCTAGAGACGGTGACAACTGCGCGCCTCAGGTATTCCGATATGCAGTTCTCGTCACGGATGCAGTTATCCCTCGCGTATTGTGGGGCAGTGATGCGAATTACAAGCGCATCCTGAGTCGTACGTGATTTACTCCTAAAGTACAAGTGCAACCTGTGACTGTATATCGCGACAATAGATATCAAGGCATTTATCACTGCGAGGCGTTATGAGACCACGACATTGCATAGTCTCCTGCAAGGCTTCTCGATATCCGAGTGCGACTGGCTCATCCCAGACAACCAAAAGCAAAGGAGGGTGTCCGTGAGCGATTCTCTGAAACGTCGGGAATTACTGGAAGATTTTATTTTCTGGTATTTTGACTCTTTTTTGCTTCCGCTTTTGAAAGTATGTCTCGTGGTCAGCTCCCATTGTCTGTTTGAATGATTTGTTTGCTTTCAGACCACCTTCTACGCAACCGAATCCTCGGCATTCCGCAACAGGATCCTATACTTCCGGCAGGACGACTGGTCCACATTGTGCGCGCCGCTCATTGAGCAGCTGAGCAAGAACACGTTCCAGAAGATTGACGCTGTACATGCCTTTCTCGTGTCTACAATATCACCTATTGAGGCTCGTTCCGAACAGCATGACGCAGAAGAACTGCTTAGGCAGCGAAAACTTGGTTTCTCCTTTGTACGCCTACTGCCCAAAGAGACCGGTGTGCGACCGATTGTCAACCTCCGAAGGCGGAAGACACCACGGCAGGTAAGCACCTTTCCGGGCATGAATCTCTCCGGATTCTCACAAAGAAATTGTGTAATAGGGGTCATTCGATCGGGCCGAGCAGTCCATCAATCAGATCCTGCAAGCCGCCTTCCAGATATTGACTTATGAGAAGGTATGCCTCCTGAGAACGGTGAACCCGTGGTCTGAAGCTATTTACCAGGAAAAGCAAAGTCAATTACTTGGGGCGTCAGTGTTTGGGCCAAACGAAGTCTACGCTAGGCTCAAACAGTACAAGACGCGCCTTGTTCAGTGTCATGGGCGAAAGTTGTGAGTAGTCTGTATACTTCCGAGTTCTGCGACTTGTGGATGATGAGGTTACTCGCACAGACCAAAGTTGTATTTCGTCAAGATGGACGTTCAGGCCTGTTTCGACACAATCGAGCAGACGAAATTGATCGGGATCTTACGTGACATTCTCTCGGAGGTAACAACATCGCAACCTCACAAGCATCTCAGTCACAAATGACAATTTAATCATCGTCTACAGGACCAGTATGTCATCCAGAGATTTGGACAGGTCAACTGTGTTGGATCCAGATTGAGACGCAAGTTTGCAAAAAAGGCATGGCCAGATGGTGGGGATGTCTTTACTGGACGTATCTTTCCCGGGTGATGACACCCTCAATGGAACAGATGACTCTCCCGACTTCCTGACTGCTGCAGCTCAACTTTCAGAGGCACTGCGGCACACGATATTCGTGGATCAAGTACGATACTCATTCAAGTTTCGCTGATGAATGTCTTCGCTGACCCTCAAAATAGGTCGTATATTCGTCCTCCCGCAAAGAGGACATGATAGACCTGCTGGAGGAACACATCACGGAGAATTTAGTCAAGGCACGCAAAAGTGGCCGGCCTCTCATAGTCGACTGCTCATGAATGTTCGCATGTTAGATCGGGAACGACTACTACCGTCAGGTGGTCGGCATCCCTCAAGGGTCGGTGCTCTCGTCTCTTCTATGCTCGTTCTTCTATGGAGACCTTGAGCGAAAGCATCTCCAATTCACCGAAGACCCGGAGAGCGTAAGTGCAGAACTTACAGCAGAATACGATCTACGAAATGCCTGACCACTCTTTCAGGTTGTCCTGCGTTTGATTGACGATTATCTCCTGATCACCACGGATTTATCGCGAGCTAAGCACTTTATGAAGATCATGTACAATGGTTAGTCCTACTATTAGCTTCTCGAGTATGGCTGACTGAACTGACTGCACAACAGGGCACCCGGAATACGGGTGTTTTGTCTCCAGAGACAAGACGTTGACAAATTTCGACTATGATGATTCCATGAACATCACCGGTCCACGCCAGAGAGGTAAGACTGTTCGCTCCATGTACCGCACCAACCATGCTCATCCTGGGTGCCCCAGGTTTCCCGTGGTGTGGATATCTCGTTGATATGCATGACCTGTCCGTGTCAACGGATTATTCCCGATGTTACAATGGATGTGAGACAAGTCGGCTTCCTACAAAGAACATCAACTTATAGTCCCGCGCAGATCTGCAAGACTCTTTGACTGTACATACCGGCCGGCGACCGGGGCTCGCACTTATGCGCAGGATGTTCCATAGGTATGTCCTGATGCAATATGTGGCTAGTGTTTAGTGACTCACAGTATCACAGGATAACCTCGACGAAGACTCACATCGTTTATTGTGATGTCACGCTCAACTCCAGGCGTGTCATTTATCTCAACCTGTACCAGAACTTCCTGCTCTCGGCCATGAAAATGCATCATTACCTGGGGACGAGGGGCCTGACGATCCGCGAGAATGCCCCTTTCATTCTCAGTGCGCTATTTCCAGCCATATCTCCACAGAGCACTCACTATGGAAAACACCCAGATGCGATCCGGCAGTACTTACGCGAGACGTTCGTAGCTATGAAGAGCAAAGCCTTGAGCAAGACCGCCCGTGCCAACGGCGGGCGGTGTGATGTCCAAGCATCCGAACTAACGTGGTTCGTCAATTTCTCCTCACGATATTGATGCTACATAATTTAACAAGTGCTGCGCCATCAGGTTGGGCACGCACGCCTTTCATGTAGTGCTCTCGCGCAAGTCGAGCGTGTACACAAAACTGCTGAAGTCTTTGGAGCTGCAACTTGCGACGCCGCGTCAGAGGCTGTTCAAACAGCGGTTCCGGGGGGTCATACGGGAAGGGCTTGGCATGGTCGTTATGCTTGACTTCTGACGGTTCGCTCAGTGTCGCGGGCTATGTATGGCTTTGTACTGGAAACTGCACACCGTTCGGACATGGCGCTTCTTACACACCATGGTATGAACCTTCCCAGGTTGATCTCGCGGGATGAGCCTGCCGATGACACTGTCTGTGTGCGCAGCATCCAGAAGAATTTACCCATAAAAAGATGCGGACCTCGGCGGCCAACAAATGAAAAAATACGCGACAAGGGTCTGACTGCCCCAGTGAGGCTCGAACTCACGACCTTCCGATGCCGTACACAGCAAGGAGTAACAGTCGGACGCTGTAACCAACTCAGCCATGGGGCACACAGTGTTCGGCTCCGCGGTGCAAATATGTGGTCCGCCGTACTGACATGGCCGGATGTTCGGGGAGGGGACGTGAGCAAGATTTCACAGGAGCACTCGGTCAGACCGCAGCGATGAGAATGGCGAGCGCATGCTGTCTTGCAAACCCACCCGGTCATTCCCCACTGCGCTCACACGCACCCGTCTATCCACCCTCGCCGTCCGCCGCATCAGCAGTCCCGGCCGTCCCCTCATAAGCCTTTCGTCGCGACGCGCTCCCTCGTTACCATCTTCCAGGACTCTAGCCACCACCGCCCACATGTCCGAGGGAAATTCTGCCCAGTCGTTCTATGAGCTCAAGGCCGAGCAGCCGGGTGGGAAGGTGTTTGATTTCGAGCAGCTGAAGGGCAGGGTCGTGCTCGTTGTCAATGTCGCGTCCAAGTGGTACGTCTGTCCTGCACGGCTGCGGAATGTTCTGAGCTGAGCGGACGCGTAGTGGCTTCACGCCTCAGTACAAGGGTCAGCCTCGTACATATATTTTGACGGACAGAGTGCTGATGCACCTCGCTCCGCAGGTCTCCAGGCTCTGTACGACAAGTACAAGGACCGCGGTTTTGTCATCCTCGGCTTCCCTTGCAACCAGGTGCGTCGTCTGCGCCGGAATCACGTACATACGTTATATCTGAGACCCGCCATGATAGTTCGGCGGCCAGGAGCCAGGAGATGATGCCGCTGTCGGGCAATTCTGCCAGCTGAACTACGGCGTGAACTTCCCGATCATGAAGAAGTCCGACGTGAACGGCGATAACACCAATGAGGTCTACAAGTACCTCAAGGAGCAGAAGTCTGGCATGCTCGGCCTCACCCGCATCAAGGTATGTCTGCCGCATATCCCGCCGCTAGAGAATGGATGCTGAGAGCCGACTCAGTGGAACTTTGAGAAGTTCCTGATTGACAAGGATGGGAAGGTTGTCAACCGCTGGGCGTCCACCACCTCGCCAGAGGCTATTGCGCCGGAAATCGAGAAGCTGCTATGACTAGAGGGTCGACAGGAACAAGAAGGAAGTACACTGTGCAAACTATGAATTGTAATGATTCCCTCAAGCTCTCAAATGATCATTGGGGGCTGCCGAGGCAGCGATACCATTAGTTTTGAGAATGATTCTTGGGCGAATCTAGTGCGCTATCAAACCCATGTACATGATGAGCGCGGCAAGAACCTCGGCGCCTCGCGATCTCTACCAGAAGACTGCCCGTACTATCCCCAGCATGTATGGACAGTACTGATTTGGCTTTGTAACTGCCAATGGTGCGATTGCGAATAGGCGAGAGTGTTCTCCGGACGTACTGGGACGCATATGCCTCCCCTCTAAGGTTCAACGATTGCTGTTCTCTTCCATTATGCCCATGCTTGAACACTGCCTGCCGCCAGCTCTCGAGCTCGACATTGAAAGTAACTGAGCTCTTGGTTCTCAACGCCAGCCTGATATATTATGCCCAGCATTTTACATTACTTGAAATCGATCTCCCGCGCGAGTTAGATATGTCGTATCGCTCTTGGAGAGATTTTCGACATATCCCCTTTTCGCTTTAATTTATAGCTGTCTGACCTTCCCGATAGCGTGACTCAGTGGCCAGTGCGTTTTACATTCGCTCGACTGATCAGGTACACAATTTTCCAAGTTTCAAACTTGCGTGGCCGTGTGCTAGATATCTTACAAATATCTGCGCTAGCCATATTTCATTGATAAAAGAAATGTCTCAAAGCAATCAACCTCTCCCAGCTTCCCGACAGCGACCTTCTCGAAGCCAAGAGCACTCAGGGACCCTCGAACTATCGACATACCGTAGTCGAAGTATTTCGAGCGCGCGACCTCGATGCCGCCAATGCTGCCCATCTTTTTCAGCCCCCAGTCTGCATGTCCCAACAGTGCCTGTATCCGTGCCGCGTCCTCCATCTTACCCTCCTTGTACAACCTGTACAGCTCTTTGTGCGCCTTCGGAGCAATGTTCGGCGGGGCACCAATAACGCCAGCGCTTCTGGAGACGAGTCCCTGGAGCAAAACGTCGCACACGCAGGGAAACGCGGCGAATCTCGACGAGACAAGGATGTGAGCCGGTTGTGCTTGCTGATATTTCCGCGGGAAAGCTTCGTACCGACAACATTACGGTGCTGTGCAAGCTCGTAAATGATGTCCGACGTGAGGTCGAGTCCAGCGGTGACAACCGAGAAATTGTAAACCATGGTAGGTATGGGCGTTGCATGTACGAGTAGGTTGCTGGTACAACGAGAGGGAAGGTGAAGCACGCATATATCGCGGTAGAAGCGTGATACGCAGTGAATCACAATAGTAGTACAATTTCCAGGATAACTCAGGCTAGCAGCGGGACGTTATGCGCTCGATGCCTTCCTCAAGAATATTTCGACTTCTGACTTGATGCTCGCAAGCATATCCGCCGTAGTGTACTTCGGCTTCCAGCCAATTGAGCGGCCGCGGTCCGCCCTGCAACGCGAGTTCGTGCCGCCGTAGTTGCCCATCGCCTACGGGCGCGTGTACGGTGTCAGCATCTCAGTCGCAGAGCGCAATCGCAACACGCACTTCAGACCCAAAATACTTGATCAACTCCTCGCGCGAGAGCGTCGTCGGCTCGTCGGTCTCGCTGACACCGAGCTCGACGAGCGCACGGCCGACCGCCTTGCTGATGTCGTACCACGTGTGCTCGCCGTTCTCCGCGAAGTAGTAGCCCTCGCGCCCGTGCGCGACCGCATCCGGACGCGTCATGATCGCGTCAAAGAGCACGATGTACAGGTCCGCGACTGCGGAGCAGAATAGAAAGGCGTTAACTCGTGGCTTCACGACTTAGGGGATTGCGAGGAAGTGGGACTGTGGACGGACCGTCGTCGATGTGCACGTTGGGCCAGATCGGCTTGCCAGCGCCGACCATGCCGGCTTGCTTCCGATCGATGGAGGCCTTGACGATGTAAGGAATCTGCATCGAGTGTGGGTTCGATATGCCCGCCTCGACGAGTGGGCCCTTTGCCAGTCCGTATATAGTGGACGGGAGGATGATGTAGGCCCTGCCGTATCCTAGACCGCGTCAGTGGTGTCAGCCAGAGCCGGAGGCAGGACATTGTCAGAGTGCCAAACTGACCTTGCTGGTCCGCGCTGACGATCTCGAGGTCGACGTTACGGTGCAGCGCAGTGGGTGGGAGCGACTCGATCTGCGCAACGTTCATGTCGGAGTAGATCGTGTCCGTGGCGTACATGCCCCGGGCGTCGTCCGTCAGGACGCCTACGAACAGTCGTCAAATGCTACCCCGCAATCCATGAGCCGGGTGACATGCCTGTGCCAGACTGCAGATAGTACATAGGTCAGATTCATCGGAGTGTGCAGAGTCGGACTCCACTGCTTACCGTGTGGATGAAGATAGGCAGATCGCCGAAGGTCGCGTGCCTATTCTTCAAGCCGCTCAGAATCGCCTTGATCATGGGCAGATCGTCCGAGTCTGACTGCACATACTGTGAGTACTCGATAACAGGTAATATCCGTATTGATCCTCACACACGAGAACACGACGTGCGCCTGCGACGCGAACTGCTCTAGCTTACCCAGTTCTCCATGGTGGCCCACGACGGCCTTCACATCGAACTTGGATTCGAGGAGCTTCGCCTTCTCCTGGGAGCGCACAAGGACAGTGATCTCAAATGTCGATGTGCGCGGGTGGGCGAGCAGACGCGTTAGGATTTGGCCTCCGACATAGCCTACGGGAGAACATGGTGAAGCATGCCTCAGGATCACTTGCTTCCGGTGCGCAGCAAGGCGACTCACCAGTTGCGCCGAGGAGGAATATCGAGGTCTTTCCACTGGACATTGCTTGCAGTCGATATGTGTGACTGCCGGGAGGCCTGTTGTTAACGAACAGAGGGGATCATCCTCGCAGGTTATCTAGCAGATTTGGGGAAACATTTCCATGAGTACCCGTGCCATTCTCATTTGGCTTCGTCAGCAGGTTATGAGTATCCGCGTCCTTCTGACTTGGCTTCGTCAGCGGGTTATCGGTCTTCATAAGCAGTTCCTTTGCCGACCTTACTCTCCACGGAAACAGGGGAGCAGATTCTGATCAGGCCTCTGGGATCCCGAATTAAACGGACCGCTCCAGCCATTTCAAATTCCGGTATGATCTTGCCTTATACTCACAGATCCACAGCACCATTGTCGAGATTCGACCATTGTGAAAAGTGAAAAGTGAAGAAGCCGGGCTTCTTGATGGACCACTGCGTCTACACTTGTTTGCAAGTCTTTCTACACGCATAGTTGTAAGTCATTCGTGCTTTAAATGACCCATGTTAGCCCATGTATGACTGAACGATGTGGTGGACGTGCACTGCTCCTCTTTAGTCGCACAAATTCTGATGGCAAACGCGGAGCGACCTTTTGGCTCAGTGACGCGTTGCAAATTAACTCTGACATTGCTTGCTCTTTTATTCTATTCGTCATCCGGAGTGAAGCACAAATAGTTGAAGATCAAGAAAGCTGAGCGCTGACGATGCAATAGTCCGAACCAATGTTGTGTAGTGTCTCTTTGATTCGGAGTTTGTATTTGTACGAACGAGCGGTGACTCTGCTTTGGCCGAACAAGCTCGCAGCACTGCGCTGCAGCTCTCAGTGGTTCATATCATGGCAATTTCTGGCTCTACATTCGACATTTGATATGAAATTTTCACAACCAGGAGGCTTGGAAACCATGCCGCGGACATCTATTAGAAGGATGCGTCACATGCAGTCTTCATGAACTCAGTACGTGCCGGTGTGCCGTCGGACGAGATCGCCTCGTACCTCTTCCACGCGCCCAGGCATGTAGTTATCACCACGTATCGCGGCGACTCGATCATCCGTCGGCTCGCACAATGTCTCCTGCGACACCTCCCCCGCCCGGTGTATACGTCCCTGCAGTCTTATTCTTCGACGAGAACGAAAGTTTCGACGTGACGTCAATCAAAGCTCACGTCCTCCGACTA